TTAGGAGCTAAGTTATTAATCCCGAGTGTGTAATTTAGTGTGTGTTCGTTCTGCAATTGTGTAGGGTTGGCACCCGAGGACGCTGATTAGCCTGCCTATAGCCCAGTAATCTATGAGTAACAATGTTGTAAAGATATGTTCAATTATAATTATTTTCTGAAGGATCGACTGTACTGCTTTCTGAAGTAACATTGTTTACTGAATGAATGTTTGTCCTGTTTTGTGAACTGTACTTGTGGCATCCATAGCAACTCACTGTTACTGTGACTGTTACTGTTACTGCTACTGTACTGTCACTATTACTGTTGCTGTCACAGAGATCTCTGTTAGTTCCAATGTTTGGAACCAATACTATATACTGTTTCGATGGCCATCAACTAACTGTTCGGTCTATTAAGACCTACTGTACTGTTCTGCTATTGGATGTACCACATATGACTGCTATGGTTTCTAAACGACTGTTATGACATGAGCTATGAGTCACTGATTGAATAACTGATCTACTGATGTAAATGATTGTTTTAATTACTGAAAGGATATTCATTCTTAACCTATTTACGCATTTGTTATTCACTGGGCTTTAGCTCACAGTTTATATATGTATGTAGGTGGCCAGGCACCAGACCAAAGCTAGAAGCGTCGAGTTAACTCATGTTTTGTCCAGCCAACTGTTGTGCCTCACTTCGAGGTTTCGAGTCTACTCGAGCCAAGACTATTTTTTGGGGTGTTTTAGATTCACCCTTTTGTCTTTGTTATGTATCGAATGTTTAAGACTTGGTTGTACAGTTACTGTGTAGGGATTGGATCCCTAACCTGCATATTATGTGTATTTGTTATGTAGATATATGTGGTTATGAATGTGGATTAGTCCATGAAAGCTTTTTTCCATTCAGGTTTTCACAGCTCATTGGACACCATGTTATTACTGTTTGGCTTCCGCCAGCCCACGTTATACTGTATTACAGTCATTCAGGCCTTCGGTAATCATAGATTACTGGCCGGTTACGATGCTAAACCCCTAGGGGCGGGTTTGGGTCGTGACACGCTTGTTATGTCACAATTGATATTTTTAACAACTTTATAAATGCCACTAAATTCAATTCATTTGTGTCATTAAATGGATACAAGTGCCATTGGAGCTTATTTTAGTGACACTTTGTAAAACTTTTACCACTACTACGAAATGCCATTTATATGTTTTTTTCATTGACACTTTTAAAAGCCATAACTAAGCATCCGTAAATGCCTATAAAAATTGAATCAATTTTATAAAAAATTGAATCAATTTTATAAGAAATTGAATATTAATTGCTACATCCTATATTAATTTGACATCCATTCATCCTGTAATATTTCCATAATAATAAACAAATATCACCACCATAAGATCATCACATCAAAAAAAAAAAAAAAAAATTCAAACCACAATCATTTTTTTTATCTAAAAATATAAATTTATTTATATTGCAATAAAGATCATAATCAAAATTATATAATATTCTACCACACTAACAAAGTTAAAAAAAAAAAAAATTAAAAATTGTTCCAACCATAAGAGTTCTGAAAAGCCATAATGATATCCATCTTTCGGAGAGACAAATTACCAAAACAAATTCAGTTCCCAAATTTTCAACCTCACATGTATAAATATTCTCGACTAGCATCCATAACTTGCGAAATCTACATTCAAAAGATAAACATATAAAGGTAATTGAAACTATATGAAGTTAATATAAATTTATTAATCAAATTAGTATTTACAAAAGAAATATACCACAAATGGAGCAGGCGAAGCAACAACTTGTCCAATTGTTTTGACAAGTCCATATGATTGGATCAAGCTTTCATTAGGTTTGATTAGAACTTGAACATGTACCTCCCAATAGTCAGGTCTTAGTTCTTCCCCTTTTACTTCTTTAGATGGGTCTGTGCTTTTAAGTACCCTGATTGCAACTGTTTCTGTTGGCCTAATGATACTTTTTAGAACAACTATACCTCCTACCTATAAACCAAGATTTAACTACTTAAGTAATTATGTATTTACAATTAATAAATAATATTTAAAAAATAAACTAGTACAAAGTGCCAGAGTGAAGATGATCACAACTGAAAGTGATATGCATTGTAAAATATAGCTGTCAGACAAATTTTGCATGCTATTCTAAAATAAAGCTGGAAGTAAATCTGAACAATGTAATTAGCTCTTAGTGGGTACCTGAGTAAGAGAGGCATCTTGTATTGATGACAAGGACCATACTTGATGTTGAGTTGCCATATCAAGAGGACTAGAAGTTGTTGGGACCTAACCAAATTGTTAACTAATTAATTTTACATACACACACATAGATATATGTATGTATATATATGTGTAGGAAAACATTAATAACTTAGGACCTTAGCTCTGAATTTTCAACTTCCATAGCATCCATTATTGTGTCTTAGTTTGCTTTATGACTAGATGTATCTCTCCATAAATTAGACAAGGATATGGGTCCATAGGCTTTTTTCTTTACAGATGAATCCTAGTATGATTAAAGCAAAATAGACAAATCAAATTGTAAACTTAGAATGCTCCAAATAAATTGTTTGCAAATGAACAAAATACTTGAAAAAAATTAACAAAGAAAAATTGTGTATTCACCTTTATTGCGTTGCTATCTTGATAGTGACTAAATGTAACATATAGTGAATAAATATTTTGTAGCCACATACGAAAATGACATAGTTGCAACTTCCTTTCCTTCACTATCCTCTTCGTCTCTTGTAAGTTTTCTCCCTCTCTGCTCTAAATCCTTTTTTTCCTGGTTTGTTTTTGGTTTAGAATATACCTATAAACTGAAGAAAATGGCAAAACATTTGACAAGGGTCGACACTAAAACTCAACAAACAAAGTTCAAACTTCCAACAAACAAAAGGAAAGTAACTCAGAGAATAAAAGAGAGCAAAGGGTCGACACCCATAAATCTGGGTTTAAAAAAACCCAACTGCCTAATCATATCTAGACTGACACCGCTTATTTCTTAGTTACTTTTTCTGATCTATGTGCAGAATAAGTCATATTGACCCTTGAGCAGATTTTCTGACATTATATCTTCTACCAAGAGTTAACTTATGAGGTTGACCATTTAATGAAGCTCCTCTCCTAAAGATCTAATTACAATCTGTATACACCCATGCTTTGATTAATACAGCTAGAAGATATCCTCCATGATTTGCTCCAATGGCTAGAAGATTCATCTCTGTTTCTCTCCAACAGCTAAAAGCCATTAATGCTATAAAGAAGAAGGTCTAAATGTTCGAAACACACAACTCTTCAACACAAGAACCATAAAGCATTCAAGAGCTTTAATTATACTTCATTGTACTTCCATTTTTATATCTGAGTCTTAAACTCCCTCAGTGCTTACATTTTCATAACATCTTTTGAGAGAGAAAATTTGTAAAAAATGACAGTTGTACCTCTAATTCTTATTCCTTATTTTCTAAATGAAACTTTTGTAAAGTGAGGCATTAGTTGAGAGGTTCTCAAAAAATTGAAGTAAGTCCTTTGCAAAAATCCATAAGCTAGGTAAAGCTTGGTGGTGTATTGATTTGATTCATAGTGAAGAAATTCTCAAGAAGGTATCTTGAGGAGTGGACGTAGGCCGATGAGCCGAACCACTATAAATCCTTGTGTTTGAGCTCTTTTTTCCTTCTCTTATATTTTTTGTGTATTAATTGATTGTCTGCTGCATTTACTTACTTAGTTACTTCAAATCTATTTTCTGTTCATATTTTTTAATTACCTAATTCACCACCTTCTAGGGTTGCCTTCCTGAGTAACAATTGGTATCAAAGCCTCGTCTCTATTATTGTGACTTAACCGTCTTAGAATGATCTATTGCAACCCCTTGATCCACTCTTCTTGAAGGTCAAGCCTCAAGCAGACCACTGTAGACACCCCACTTTTGACTGCCAATAAGACTTGGGCGCCTCATGGTGAACACTCGATGATGAAATACTATGTTGTACAAACGTTCGATTTCCTCAACAAGAAGCTTCGGTTTTGAGTTTCAAAGCCTAAAATCGTGCACTTCCTTTGGACCAAAACTAGATTTTTTTCGCTAGCCTGACCACTCAGAGTCCTGCTGGCCAATAGGTGGCCAGCTGTCCATTTTTTAGTGGCCAGCCATCCCCCTACATGGCCAGCTAGCTAGGTTTCCCTGTAGGAAGATATTTGCTGCCAGCCATACCTCCCATGTGCATGCACTGCACTAGCTAGTTCAATACATATATTTCTGAGATAGGAACCTATGTTTCTATATATACTTGACCACCCCTCTTGATTTTAGGTTAGAAAAATTCTCAAAGAGCCCAAAGCTTCCTAAGCACTCTCCATCTCTAACTTGCAATGTACATACACTATACATACACTTACTAAACCAATATTTTAACGCTCCTTGCCGAGATTATTGAGCTAAAATATCAGCCCTTGAGAGTGTGCACTTTGTGGTTTGTGAACAAAAGGCTGTCTTCACCTTAAAAGTATAACTCCTGCCATCTTTTGCCTACTTTATTTCCTATATTTTTCTTGGTTTTCTATATTGTTTTGAACTATTTTTGGTGGGCTGAAACTTGTGATTTAAAGCTACCAAAGGTGGAGGGGTTAACCACCCTTCTTTGAACCTTATTCCATAAACTTTTATCCTTATGTTTCCCACTTGTGTAGACACCCCATTTTTGACCGTCCTCAAAACTTGGACGTCATCGTTTGAACACTCGATGATCATCCATGCTCATGTTTGTTTTGAGTTCTCGGGGGTCTCGGCTACGCGCCTTGCCTCAAGATCTCTCAACTTGTCTGTTTTGTGCTTGGTTGTGAACCAAACACTTTTGTTTTGCTTCTAAGGGAAGAGGGTAGCTTGTTTTCCATCCCCTCAACCCACCGGCCAAGGCATGAAGCCATCGGCCCTGTCTCCCTTCCATCAGCCAAAAGTATTGGCCGATCGACACTTTATTTAGTCGGTCGGCCGTTGTGTTGGTCAATCGGCCATTTTTGCTGGCTGAACCCTGTTCATCTGCTTTATGCAGATATTTTGTGCCAGCTAGCACAGCTGGCATCCATTATTAACCCCCTTCATACACGTGTATGGAGGGATTTGTCCCTTGCTTAGCTTCTCTTAGAAGCTTTAGAATTTGAAATTCTATAAGAGGAGAGGCTCTCCTCCCTTCTCAGAGGTTTTGAAATTTAGGGTTAGGAGTTTTATATCTATCTATCTTTATATCTCCCTCTCTTTTGATTTTGTGTGTGTATTTGTGCTCAAAAGGGTGTTTTGTTCATACTATTGTACACAAACACCTAGTAATACACTATCCTTGGTTCCTGTGGCACTAGGAGGTTGATTTTAGAGTTTTTGAGTTGGTTTTGATCAAAAGGAGGTGCTGGAGTTGGTGTTTTGGAAGTGTTCTTCAAGGGTGAGAAACTACTCTTTTATTTCCCATTTTTTCTTAAGCTTTTAGCAATACTTGCACACTATTTTAAGCTTAGTGTCCAACTAAAAAAAGTTCTGTATTTTCATGCTTGAGATGTTTGTTTAAGATTACTTTTGAATTTGGGGTTGTTTACCCCCTCTTAGGCCTTGTTTGGCCCCATTTTTGTGCTTTTTTTTGTGAGCTCCAGGACCACCTTGTATTGGCCTTCTCACCACAGAAATCCAGGGATTTCAATGGTGGGGATGGTGTTTTGAGGTCCTAAGAAGGAGAGGGCCATCCCCTCTCCTTGTTGTCTTCAATACTTGTCATATTTGCCTCATATGTGAGCACCTTTGTTAAGTTTGTGTTGGCCATGTCTTAGCTGATATTTGTGGTTATTTTGCTGTGATAAACCACTTTTCTTACCTATCTTGGTCATTCCATGCATGATCTATACACTTGTAGTGTAAATTTTGCAAACTAGTCTTGTATGCTTCATACTTGAGCATGTCTTCTTAGCGTATGTTGACCTCATTTCAGTGGGGTTTTGGTGTTGTTTTAGCATGCCATGACTCTGTTTTGGGTGGGTTTAGTTGGCTCTTACATGCTTCATATACTTGCTTTGCAATCCCCTCATTTGCCTTAACAAGCACCTTGTGTTTAGACCACCATGCTTACATATTTTGGCTTAACTTTGAGAAGCTTTTAGCTTTGTTTTACTATGCTTGAGGTCTGATTTTGGTTGCTTGGGTCACATGTGCCATACTTTGTATAGCCACCTGTAGACACCCCATTTTTGACCGTCCTCAAGACTTGGACGTCACCGTTTGAACACTCGGTGATCATCCTTATTTGTGTTCGTCTTGAGTTCCCGGAGGCCTCGGCTACGCGCCTTGCCCCAGGATCTCTCGGCTCAACTTTTTTGTGTCTGGTTTTACACCAAAAGCTTGTGGATGTGTTCCTGAGGGAAGGGGATGGCTTGTCGACCAAGCGTCCTGCCCACCGGCCACCTTGCTTTTCAGTCGGCCAAATGTGATGGCCGACCAGCCAGTTTGACTGCCGGTCGGCCACTTTGATGGCCGGTCGGCCAAGTGTGGTTTTCAACAGATATCTCTGTAGATAGCTGGCGTAGCTGTCATTCTAGGCCATACCCCAGCCCATACCTGGACGTAGGTGTTCTGAGGAGCTGCAGATTGATATATATCTATATCAATCAAGCTCTCTCAAAAAAACAAAAAAAAAAAAGAAAAGGGGAGGAGATACAACTTTGAGCAAAAAAAAATCTCTCTCTCTCTCTACATTTTTTGCCTCTCTCTCTAAGGTTTAGGACTTGTTTGTGCTCAAAAGTGCATTTTCTTTGCACTTTTGCACACAAACACCTAGTTCTCTACTCCCTTTATTGAGCTGAGGTCCTTGGAGGTGATTTTTGGGGTAATTTGAAGCCTTTTTTTGGTCCAAAAGTTGCTAATTTGCTGCTGTGCTTCAAGGGTGAGCTTTTTTACCTCTTTTAAGCCTTGTTTTCATAGCTTATTTTTCCATATTTGCATGCTGTTTTAGACTTACCTCTCAACTAAAAAAAGTCTCGTTTTTAAGTCCCTAACATGTTTGTTTGAGGTCATTTTGGTGTTGGGGGTGATCTACCCCCTTTTGAGCTTTGTTTTGCCTTGTTTTGGGCCACTTTTGTTGACCTCTGAGCTGGTCTTTTCTTGGCCTTTTAACCACTGAATTCTAAAGGAATTTCAGTGGTGGGGATGGGGTTTTGAGGTCCCAAATGGGTGGGGGTTGTACCTCCTCCCTTGTTTTTGTCGGTTTGTGTTAATGGCTCACCAAATGAGCATGTGTTTCCATCTTCTTGAGCCCTTGTTTGAGCATGTTTTTGTGACTTTTTAGACCTTCCTTGACTCTGTTTTTGCTTGGTTTGGTCACCTCGTGCATGCTTCTAATACTTGTAGTGTAATCCTACTTGAGGCTCACCAAAGTAACATGTTTCTCAAGCATGATTTGGCTCCTCTTCAGCATGTTTTTGGTAGTATTTTGGCATGTCATAACTCTGTTTTGCATTGGTTCAGACACCTCTTGCATGCTCCATGTACTTGTAGTGCAATCCTCTCTCTAGCCTTAATGTGTATCATGTGTTTAGACCATCATTCTAGCTTATTTTGGCTTAGCTCTGAGAAGATTTTGTCCATGTTTTGCC